CTTCTGAACCTGATATATCTCCTCCTATTATTCTGTTCATAATGAAGGGGATTTTGGCAGTCTTTTTCCTACCACATACCTTTGACAAATCTTCTACCAATTCTACTATGGATCTCCCTAGGCCTTTTTCATAATTTTTGAACATGGTTTCTCAGGTATGTTATCTTTTCTCTCTCTTTCTCCAGTCTCGTATGATTCTTCTCCTTCACTTCTTAATTTTTCCCATGCTTCTGACTTTTATCTTTTTTCATCCCTTTCCAGGTTTTAAGTCCATATTAAACAATTTTTATCTCAACTTTGGTTTGGTTTAGGCATGCCTCATCCTCCTTGCCTGGTTGCCACATATGTCTTGACATAACATTAGGCTTTATTTCCTTTCTTGGACTCCCAAACTCTGGAGTCCTTTCTTCGGTTTGGGGGTCAGATCCTCTAATTTCTGTTTGCCTTTCTCAGGGCCCTTCAACTTACCCTTACTATGCTGTAATTTAATTTTTCCTTCCTTCCCCTTCTTTTCAGAGTAGTCCAACATGCTCCTGTGGGTGTTTTGATGGATGGTTCTTCTCTTATCTTTTCTACACTTGGGCTTTCTTCTCCCTTGGCCTTCTGACTTGGTTGCTTTGTTTCTGAAATTTGTTGAGGAGGGATGCCCTTCTTGTGCAAGTATGTTTACCTACCTATTATCTCAGGGATTTTTGTCTGACTCCTTACCTCTGCTAGATATTTTTTTGTGGAGTACCTTATTCTCTGCAGTCATGGGTTGAAGCTTTGTGTCAACATTTTTTCTTGTCCTCCCTTGTTTCCTGTTTCTCCATAGCTCCTTTTTTCCCCATTGTAGTCTTCTATCCTACTACATCTTTTCTTTTCCATGTTCCTTGCTTCCACCTGTTCTTCCTCTGTGCATAGATCTTGGTGGCAACAATCTCGTCTGTGATTATCTTATAGGTTCAGAGCCAGTAGGAGCACATTTGGCTTAGTTTGCAATCTAGGGCTTCCATTTGCATGCTACAATTTTTATCAGAGGGTCTTATTCTGTTTTTACCTCTTGTCTCATGTTCTAGTTCTTGTTCCTTTTCCATGGGATCTGGTGTCTTGCCTTTCATCTTTCAGTTGTGGTTTCAGACATGTTGGCCAAGGATGCTCTTGATTGGGTTTTCATCTTTCTCCAGGATTTTCTTCTGTCCCACCAGGATTCCTGTGAACATACTCTTCTCTTTTTTTTGAGGTGACTCATTTTGATGTGTGTGTGTGTGGTCGGGGGGTCAGGCTGGAGAGGTTTCATCTCACACCCACTTAGTATCTGGTTCAAATGGGTGTGTTCTTTATTTCCCATCTCTGTGGTGCTCAGCCTTATCTATTTCGTTGGTGGACCATGATAAATTTGGTTGGATACATTTAGTCAGAACTGGTCTAATATTTTCCTTTAGGTTTACCCTCTATTTGTCTCCTCTCTCATGTTCTCTCCCTCTTTCAGGGCATTCCTTGTTAGGTTTTCTGTTGCCATCCTAATGGCCAGCTCAATCATAGTTTCTTTTGTAGAACTTTCTGTCCTCCTCCTATTCATCTTCTGTGCTCATGCTCTTTTCTTCTTCAGCCTTGTACTTTGCCTTTTCATCTAGCTGTGTCATTGCTCTGACTTCACGTGGGGGATATGTCTAGTCTTTTGCATGATTTTCAGAACTCTCTTCACCTGTAGCTGCCCAAGATTCCCATTCTGTTTGCCCATCCACCATCTTGGTGTATCAGCGATAATGGCATAATTTTTGCCATTGGTCAATAAGTCTTTCTTTTTTTTCCTCTCATCCTTCCATTCCCTGTCTGTCTGTGTGTACTTCACTGTGCTATTTGATGGTTTATCAGTTTGATTATTGCTGGGTTCAAGGTGGCTGTTTTTACCACTTTCCAGTTTTCCTGTTATTGTCAGATTTATTCCTCCCTTGTTCTTAATATGCTCTTTCATTCCTTTCACCTTTATCACCCATCCTGTTCTTCTAGTCTACCTGACTGGAACTTTAATGTTGTTCACCATGACCTTATCCTACCTCCCTGGAACCCTTTGGCTTCCTCTTTCTTATATCTCCCTTAAAGCCCAATTCCTCATCTTTTTGCCTGTGGTCATCGACATTCTTACATATATGCTATTGATTCTTTACATATTCTTTTTCATCACTTGTATGCCATTTTCCATTCTGGTTGTGCTTTTCTTCCTCGACCATCAGCAGCATTTGAGGGCTACTGCTCATTCATACCTGTGTCTCTCTTTTCTATTTCTCATCTTTCTTTTTGTTCAGATCCTGATTGCTTTTTCTGTCCCATCTATGAGCTTCGTTGTTATGTGGCCCACATTTCTCCCTTTCATGGTTCAGTCTTTACATTCCTTGGATTACTTTTTCCACTCATGTTCTTTCTCTCATTACCCTCTCTGGGTAGCTTCATCAGCTTCACCTGTATAGCATATTCTTCATTAGATGGGGATTCACATCAGTGATTCCAGGTGTCCTTCCATTAACATTGTCACCTTATGCACTCTTTGGCTTCTCACTTTTATTGTCTGTTGGAAGAGATTGTTCAAACTGGCATATGGACATCTCCTCACATTTGGCCATTTCTTCTTTGTCAGGCTATGGATTACCATCAGCTGCTATTCTCCACACATCATACCATCTCTGACTGGGTAAGTTCTTTTTCATTATCTTAATTTTACTGGGTCCTCTCATGCCTTCCAGGATCCTGCTAAGTGACAAGCATTACCTACCAGATTATACTTAACAAAATTCTACATAGTGTAGTACTATGATGGCCTGAAATAATACTCATCCATGAGATGGAATGCTCTACAAGACTGCTCAAGGTATCTTTGCAGTGCTCATTATCCTAAATAATATCCAGTTTAGACTACTCACTCATTGACTATCATGAGTAAAGCAGGCAGAAGATCCCTACCTAGTTTAGGACCTAGTGCTGGTCTTCCTTTAAAACTAAGGTTTTCTTGGTCACCCATTACACTGTTTTATGGTGATGCACTCCTCTGGACTTTCCAGTGTGCTTTCATCCACCCTTCCTTATCTTCTAGAGGAGCTTGGAACTCCTTAAAATTACCAGGTCCTAGCTGCTGGGGTGGTAGACCATGGAGCCTGCCTCCTGAGTGTGACCAAATCCACTCAGTAAAGAGAATGTAGTACAGCTTACCCATCTGGCTGACTTTTCTCCATCCTACTGCTGCCCACAGATCAGGTTCCTGGGTGGTTTGGTGTTGGATTGGGACAGAACTAGCCAACACAAGTCCTCTCTCAGTTGAAGTTCAGATGTTAAATTACCTTTCTGCCTCACTGAGCTAGAGATGAAGATGATAGGGACACTCCTTCTACTGTGGCCTGGAAGACACATTCCAAGTGTTGCCTGGTTTTGAACTGGAGTTGACCCACCATTTATGGTTTGGTATACCCTAGCTACACTACAAATATACCACTTCCATGAGCCTGTTGCAGGCTCTGGCCTATTATTGTATTTTCTTCCAATTCTACAAACACTTCCTTTCTTAATGGGTGAAGAGAGTACCCTGTTACAGATGTGGTATGGTCTCCCATGGGTGTACCCCTATCCTGTTTTATGGTATAGGGTGTTGTTCTCCATGGGTTCCCTTTGGATGCTTCCTGAAGTGGGCTTATCTAGGTAAATTTTGCATCAGTCCCTTCATGACTTTAGTGTGGGATTCTAGCTATATGTGAACAGAGGTTACATATTGTATCAGAAGTTAACATTTTCCAACACTGAAAATGTATTTATGATAAAAACATACCTCTCCTCACACTTTCCACTCTTCCTCCCCACTTCTGGTGCATTATTTCTTGCCTAATCTCAAAGTTATGATTGAACAATCAGTACAGAGGGAGTCCTATTGGTGGAGGGTTGTCATATGCTCATATGTGTGCAACAATGCACAAGTTTCAGATGAGAGCCTTGAGACTAGTGGCGAGTGAAAAAGTTTGCATATAGAGGACAGCATTAAATCAGGACAGCTGTATGTGAGAAGAGGTGTAAGTATTTATTGGAAATACATTGTCAGTTTTGGAAAATATTAACTTTTATAACTTGTGGCTCTTTTCAGATTTAAATTTGTACTACCTTATTGTTTCTTACTTACTATAAACACTTTTCAAGCTATTGATGTTACCAACCTAATCATTAAATATACGTGATTCTATGTAACATAGACTAGTACTAACACAAACCTAAGCCTAAGTTCTGTATGATTCATTGTAATAATTTATGCATTGATTTAGGGTTTTACCAACATCAAAAATCTTGTTGCACCACACTTTGTTTTCCTTTATGTGAGTAAAAACTAAATTCTCAATGTGAGTAATCTATGTAAACAGTAAAATACATGTTGGGTTTTTGTTTCTTCTAAAGCTTAAAATCATGTACTTGTATACAGTATAGAAGAACATCAGTTTTATACAGAAAAAAGTGTAAAATTCTCTACTGAAGTTTGTTTTTATTTACAATTATCAAGTGATGAATTTTAAGAACTGTTAGGTAACGATAACACTGTTTCCTGTAAGTATGGACATTAATGTTATTTAAGAAGTGATGATCATGCTGTTTTCTGTTAAGTATGAACATTGAACTTTCCTAAGAATTAATTACACCACTGTTTCCTGTAAGTACAATTAGTGATCACACTGTTTCCTGGAAGTGCAAACATTGAACTCTACTAAGAATTAATGATCATACTGTTTTCTGTAAGTATGAGTATTGAACTCTACTAAGAACTAATGATCACACATTTCGTATAAATATGAACAGCTCAATCAAACAGCAAATAAGCCTTTTAGTATTGTCATTTCTTTAAAATTTACATTTAAAACTTAATACTATTTATTAATACAGAGAATTTATATGTATGTATATATAAAAATTTATTTAGAAATTCCTATTTGTTCTGAAAACAATATCTTAACAATATGGAGCTTTTTAATCCCTGGATATTGTTACTGTAGTGGCACAGAAAGCAGGTTGTTCCGATTTGTTGGTGCTACCAACATGGAACGTGTGGTAAAGATGGACAGAGAGATGAGCAAGGTAATGAACCTACATGTTGCTTTCAAACTGTCATGATAGATGAAAATAGCATTAGATTAAAATTTTTTTAACCAGAAGATGCTGCTCTAAAGAAATAACCAATTTTTCTAAAGCATTTTATTTTGGTTTTGCTAAAGTTGTAGTTGATGAATTTATAAATTTTGTATATGTATGTATTCTTCTAGTATTGAAAACATACTATATAATTTTATGCTGCTGTAGGCATTATTATATTAAACATTATAAGGTATTCAAGGTGTCCTCATTTTAGGTATGTTATAATTTTGATCCATTGCTTCCTTTCATAAGTTGCTAGCAATCACTGTTCTCTGATGTATTTGGATAGTGTACTAATAAACTTCATCAACCTGAAATGCTCTAAAGATTATGATTTTAATGGCTTCTACAGATTTTCACTGATAAAGACTTCTGCTAGCAGTCTGAAACATCATCACCGAACACTGCCGGTGAAACAAAACTCGTAAAACATCATCCAGAATAAATCATGACCCACCACCTAAAGCCTGTTTTAAACAGTGCTTCTGTATTGTTGCCTGTCTTTTAGACATCTCAGTCGTGGTGTATTTATATTAAAAAAAATTTGTTTTCAACATTCAAAATTTGATATACTGTATTTATTTCCTTGCTTTATATTTAAGTTTTTTTTTACCATTTCTAACTGTAGCCTCCTTATATTTTAAGAGGTACCTTTAAAGAAAATATATTTTGCTGTATTTTCAGTTTGGGAAGGCTGAGATTTGCACTGAAGAGGCTGCCCCAGCAATCAGACGAGCAGCAAAGTGGGCACAAGGTGGTATGCTGGTGAGCACTGGGCCTCCTCTAGATGGCTTGAACATTGACAGTCAACAATCGTCTGATAAAAAGAAAAGTAACACTGAAGTTATTTGTAGAGAGAGGAACACTGAACTAGCAAAGTGAGTAGTTTCATTTCTTGTAAGCTTTGTTCACTCTGTTTCTTTAGCTTCAGTGCTATTGTTTTCATAATTTATTTTAAAGGGAAGCTGAAAAAGTGTTGCTCCCTTCAGACATAAGGAGAAACACATGGAATTCTCCTTTAAGATTTGATGCATCAGTTTGGTGCATTGACTGTTTTATAGGTAAGTTTCAAGTGTTGAGTAATTAGAAAATTTTGTAAGTCTGTTAATCACTCTTGAAAGTTTTATAACTTTGTTTGGGTGTGTCTACTAATATTTTCTAAACTAATTTGTAAGTTGAAGACTTTCAATACTGGGAAACTTTAGTAATAGTATTGTTTTCATATTTCAACAATGAAAGTATTGTTACTGTTATTATCGGGGATAATTCACACTCCTTGAAGAAAATATTGAGACATTTCTAAAGTATTAGGTAGTTGTTTTTATACACTTTAAAATTGGTATTTAATTATTTTACATGTGTTAATAAACCATTATTGCTGTTATATCAAATTCAACTGAGATGTCTCCTTTAAACTCAGTAATTTAGAATTATACAATGGGTGTAACTTACTTTGGTTAGTTTGAGGACAACTTTACTCACTAGTATAGCAGATGGTCCACATGTTTCGCCACTAAATTAATATTTATTCAGCATCTAAAACTTCTTTAAAACGTTTTTTTTTGCTTGTTTCTGGGTTATGTTTTATTAATATTGTAACAGTAAATGTCATAGGAATAACAATAATTCAGTTATTAGGCTATGAAGTATCTGAGGGTTAGAATGAAATAAATTGTAATGCTAATTATGAATACCTGAAAAATCTGAAAATTTTAACAAAATAGTATTTTGTTTACTTAACTAAAACACACTTTTTTTTTTTTAAATTCAGAACTGACCCCTTACGACCATTTATCAGTGGGCAGGTGGCAAATAGCATGGCTGCTGAGGTTATAGGCCTTTTACACAGTCTGTTGAATTCTCCTGAATCTAATACAGCTGAATTATGGGCTGGTGCTGTTGAGAAGGTAAGCAACGTAGATTAATTTCTTATTCTGAGTATGTTTAGTTTATTGAATATTTATGTCTTAACACAGGGGTTCTCAACCTGGGGACTGCAGGAAACTGTCAGGGGAGCCATAGCAAATTCATAAAATATGTAACACTATATTAAGATACTCCATATCTATAGATTCATTGGGTGGAGGTGGGGGCCTCAGTCAGGATGTATAATGTTCTGGGGGGGGGGGGGCTTGTGCTCAGAAAGTTTGAGGACCTCTAGCTTAAATGCTTGAGTTATGCTCTATAAGTGATAAATAGATATGTAATCAATTTGCAGAAATAGAATCACGAATTTCACTTGTACAACAATATGTGCGGTAACTCTGATATTTCTTAACATATCCTCTCTAAAACTGATAAGATTTCATTAAGTATCTTGTTCAAAAATATTGATGGGTTTATAATTCAGTGTTTTTACTAAAAATATGTTATTTTTATATTGTAGTTTCTCACATTCAAACTATTAACAAATCGAGTGCCAAGTGATTTTAATTTTAAGTATTAAAATACTTTACTTCATCATACAGTTTTCATGTTTCATTTGTATAATCTCTAGAACCTCCTAAAAGGATATCAAAAGTTTTTTATGGTAAATTATTATATTTTATTTTTCATTTTCTCTATAATATCGCTAACTAGCTATTATTATCAATGTACAATGCAATGAAATAATTAAAATTAGGAAATAGAAAAAATACATACTGTTTTAATTTTTTGCAGAATATCTTTAAAGAGTTTCCTTTTGTTAAATTCATGATTTCATCTCTTTTCCTTTCTATATATAGTTAATGTTTAATGTTATATTTTCCTTTCTTGTCTTTTACAACTTATTATTCATCTTGACATAAGTCAGTGGTGCCCTCAAGGCATATTACAGTTTCTTTGGGTGACATGCACAACCCTTTGGTAAAATTTTTGTTCTGCACTTAATATTGTAATCCTTGAAAATGGATGTGAAGTATGATGTATATTTAAAAAATGTTTAAACCTTTTAATTTTGCATTTTAAAACATAACTAATACATAATTAACTAATATATAATAGTAAGACCTAAATACAATTTTAACTGTATCTCTAACTATAACATATTTAGGTAAGAAACAACCATAAGTGCTATAGTCAATCAAGTAGCCAACAATACTATAGTCAATTTCATGTACTCTGTGACTAATACTTGGCACCAATTTCAAAATAACCATTGTTAGTTTATACTGTAAAATCAGATCTTTCTAATTGTTATATACATGTGCATGTAACATCTACATGGAAGGGATAAAGCTCAAACAAATCTGTTGAAGGTGGGCATGGCAGCTGTCTGGAGTAGTAAAAATGTATTACTTGTTTTGACTGTATTCATTCAGAGAACTTTGAATCATAACATGCATTATAATATTCAATGCATTCAAGTACAGTGATAATAAAGGGGTTTAATTAAATTTTTAATGTATCACAGTGACTTGCAAAGAAAAGTGTTTAAAGGGGCTCCTGTTACAAAATGGTTAATGTTGCTTTTTAACAATATCTTCTTAAAACATCTCTATGATACATTTTGCAATTTTATGTCTGAAAGAATAGGTCAGGAAAATTTTATGTTGATTTAACCTCCTTATAATGTCTTTTTAAAACCTTAATTATGAGACTACTATAAGATCTATAGATTATGATACAAATAAAACTTTTATTACATTGTGGTATGTAACTCATTAGGTGGATGTGGTTTAATCTGTTGTTAATCTGTCCGAAATAGTTAAACAAGCATGTATTCAGTTCTCTCAGAATTCTTACTATTTTGCAGATTGGAGTTGTTAATGTAAAATATAGTAGTAAAATGTTGTCTGTTCAACAAAACTTTAATGTTTGCTTTCTCTTGTTATTTGTAATCATAATTAGTGGAAATTTGTGATTTTAGATACAATATCTTACTTCTGCTCACAAAAAGCTTTCTAGACTTATACTGCCCTCTATTGTCACAAAGTTTTGCTCACCACTAGCCTTGATAATCCCACTTATTTCTGCTTACTAACCTCATTACCTCATGCAACATTACTCTTATCGTAACTAGCATCCTCTCTAATCTTGTAGTTGTTAACCATTTCTCGATTAATAGTCCTATTGAACAATGTTTTTGCTTACAGTTTGTTTCATTTACCCACAAGTATTTACTTTCTTAATTTTTTTACTTTAATTATGTTGTTCTTTACTGTTTTCATTCTCTTTTGTAGAGAGTACAAATTATTTTATTTAGCTTCTCTCCTCTTTCAATTTTTGTGAGTTATGCATCGCATTTTCAAGTGGTCACAACTACAACTGCTGCAATGGGTTGGAAACACGATTCTCAGCCCAGGAACTGACAGCTTTTGTCCTTCAGGAGTTGACCAATTTCATTCAACAAAACAGAACAAACTGATGATTGTCCTATCATGGTTTTTTTTTTAGTGGTTGGAAGTTTTGGATTTGGACAGCCTTTTCCCCCCTCCTGAATATGTCTATCAGTTGCGTGTCATTTTGTGGAAGTTGACCAAACCTGTTTCCCCTTTGGTGGATTTGATTATTCAGGTATGTTATGTTCTGTCCTTATCTCCAGTTTCCTATGTTCCACCCTTGTTCTTCTCGGGGACTAGCCTTTGTGTCATTATTTTAGTACTTCTTCCTTCCTTGGATATTAGGGAGCATTAGTATTCAGGGGTTGGTATGCCTTGACCCCCATGTACTGTGGACAATTATTCTTCTGATTATCATCATTTCAAATTCCATTATTTGAACTCAAAGTGTTGGTGTCACTTCTCTACACACCCTTCTCTGGTCATGGCTGGTGGGAGCTAGACTCCTTTAATATGCCCATAGTTGGAGGTCCTTGTTGGTTGATCCTTTGGTTCTGAAAGTTGTTTCAGTAAGTCTGTCCTCTATTTCCATTCATCTCCCCATTGTCTTACAATTCTTTTTACTTCCATCCTCTTCGAGTTCACGTTTTATACCTGCCTGATTCTTCCTTTGTTTACACCTTGCTATGGACATTTGGCTGCTTCTTGCTTTCTCACAGGAAAACTCAGTCCTACATCCTGAGTTTCTTTTCCAAGACACTGTTATGGTGGATTGGCTTGTCAAAGTGGAGCAATATTTCCTTGCACTTACACAATTTTTGGGTTCACCTGAGGGTGTTTTTCCATTCCCTTCTCTGTCGGGCACTACCTGCTCCATTTCAGTTGCAAGTTATGGAATGTCTTGTATGCAGCATCTCACCACTCCTCCTACTATGCAAGAGGCTCTCTTTCTTTTGGGGACATGGGCTTCCCTCAAAGCTCTCATTCTTCTTGATCATGCCCCTATGACTCATCGTCGATTGGTTTTGATAAATCAATTGAGCCTTGTTTGGGATCCCTTAGATATTCTTCTTACCATCCCCCCTCCCATACAAACCAACTTTGACTGGTAGTTGGATTGTGGGTGTTCCTTTTCCCGAGTTCTCTCTCTATATCAATCTTGGAAGTTCTTGCTGTTTGTTGGGTTTTCCTTCACTTTGTGTGGGCTCCTAGGGATCAGTTGGTGATGATTCACTCCAATATTTCTATGGTAGTCTTGTACATCTTCAGGCAAGGGGGCACTCGATCAACAGACCTCTGTTTTCTTACATTGGATCTTCTGTGTTGGGCCCATTGCTGTCCCATTACTTTGTTGGCATGTCATAATGTGGGTGCCCTGAATCTGGTTGTGGATTGGTTATCCTGTATTGACAAGATTCTCCCTGTAGTTTGGTCTTTGGATCTACCTGTTTTTTGGGTCTTGTGTGCTCTGTGGGGTGTCCCAGAATTGGACGTTTTTTTCCACCCTTCTCAATACACCACTTCCCCGATTTTAGTCTCCTGCTTTTCATCCTCTTGGGGGAACAGTCAATTCTCTTAGTTGGTACCTTTATGCCTATCCTCCTATTCCTCTCCTCACCTGTGTCCTTGCCATATTTCAAGACCATTCTGTGTAGTGTTATGCTACTAATTACGTATTGGCCTGCTCACAAGTGATTTCCACTGTTGCACCAGTTTTTGTTGTTGCCTCCCTTTCTTTTCCTTTATCTCTGACACTCCTCCAACAGTCACACTCTGGCATGTTTCATTTCTCTGTACCCTCACTTTGTCCAGTCCCTCACCTGAAGGGCCAGATTTTCGTGTGTAGCTTCCTTCATTTTCCATCCTGTTCTTTCTTCCACCATGGTATTTTATTTACCTACTTACATGGTACATGTAACACTTTTGATCTGTCCTAAGGGGTTATAGTCATCCTATCCTTTGGTTTCTCACAGTTAATTTTTGCTTTTGTGGGTTATTGGGTGGCATTATTTGCTACTTTTCAGTTTACCAATCTTGCTTGTGTTTTCCAGTTGCCAATCTTATCCATGTTGTTTTGTTTCTTCCATTTTTTTCATCCTTCCTGCCCTACTTTCCTCCTGGATTAGGTCTTCTATGTTTTTTTCCCTGTCCTCCTTTAGTCCTTTTTTTTCATTCTGTTCTTTAAATCAGTTTTTTTTTGCAGTCCCTGTTCCTGCTCTTGTTAGCAAGTAAATGCTGTTCTTCTCATGTGTTTGCATTGGATGCTTGCCATGTTTTTGTTTTCTTAGTTCCTATGTTATCTTCTTTGTTGGTCGTTCTTTTATGCCCAAGACTTCGGCTGCTTGAGAGGATACTTCTCCCTTCACTCCTTTTCCCACCTTTCTGATCATTCCGATCCCACCCAACTCCTCTGCCTGGTCAGGGCTCTTTGATGGTCTATGACATGTTGTACTGCTGTCTTCCATGATTCCTTAGTTCATTTGTTTCTGGGCTGTCCACCTTCCTACTATCTGCCAGATATCGGTTCCTGGAGGATCTGGTATTGTTTGTGTTCGAGGTGAGGTGTGCACCTGTATGGTGGGTTCTTGGTATGGAAGTTCCTCTTTCCTGCTGGTACCCATTTTTGAGATGAAAAGTAGAGGACCCTTTTCCTACCCTGGACCTGATATATAATTCCAGATGCTACCAGGTGTAAGTTGAAGTTGAACTCCCATTTATGGTCTGTCGTGCCCCAGCCACCCTATGTCAGGAGGGCTCTATATTTGTGTAATTTTTTCTTTCGGTTCCTCCATGTTTCCTTCCTTTTTGGTGACAAATTACTAAAGGAGGAAGAGTATGCTTGGGTCAGAAGTGGTGCAGTCTCCCTTGGGTGTGTTGTTTTTAATTCCTTCTCACCCCTATGGTTTTCCTTTGGGCACTTCCTAAAGGGGATTTTCTTCTCATCAGCCCCTCCACTGGTTCAATATGGGATTTTAGCTTTTTGTGAGATGAAGTAAGATATCGTATTGGAAGTTAACATTTTCATCAACTGAAAATGTATTTCTGATAGATAATTACCTCCGTTCACATTTCCCACCCATCTTCCCCACTTCCGGTGTAGTTTGGTGTGATCTGACTAATCTCGAGGTGGTTAACAGCTTCAAGATTAGAGAGAAGGAGTTAGTTATGATAGGGTTAGTTTCGCACTCTTATCAGTGGAGTGTTGCTACATAATCATTTGCATGCTAATATGCAGAATTAAATAAAAATATGAAGACTAATGGCAAGTGAAAATTTGCACCAATAGAGGGCAGTATAAGTCGAGAAAGCTTTTTGTGAGATGAGGTTAATATCTATTGGAAATACATTTTCAGTTTAGGAAAATGTTAACTTTTACTTTTACTCCTTTTTTTTTCAGGTGCTAACAGGTGCACTTGCTCTTCTACCACAACTTTTGAGACAGACAGAGACATCTAATGGCCTGCTTTCTACTAATCTATCTTCTGTTTTATCAATGTCCAGACAAGTGCTGGGGGCATTGTGTGTTCTGGGTGGTTTCAAGGAGTCTCTGAAGCCTGGTTTGCATGTTGTAGTGAGTATTGCATTGATGTATATATCCATGTAAAGATGTTTATTGACAGCAAGGAGATTTCTGGTAGTATACTAATACAAATAATATCATAACATGCAAAAGTGTCTAGTACTCAGAGAATTCAAAGTATCAGAATTTGAATTAATGTATTTTTAGTATTCACTCTTTATTGGCTATTTATTCTCTTGAGTGTTGTTTTTCTGCCTGTAAGTGACATTATTTATTAGGATATCAAGGTGTTGTGTGTGTTAGGTTAAATGGACTCTGTAGTTTAATAAAGTTAGATTGAATGAGGAGTACTAAAGAATTTCTGCAATCTTCTTCTTTAAATCGAAGAAATATTACATAAAATTTACTTCGACCTTTGCATTAAACTCAGTGGAAGATACTTGCAGCACTGATATGTGAAATTTTTCATTAGATTGAAGGAGAAGGACTACATAACTCTTGTGGCCAGATCCTCAGTGTGTCAGAACAGCAAGGCCTGGCAACAATACAGTTGAAATTACCAGAAGATCCCACACCATACCCAAGGAGCTCAGACATTGTTCAAGTTCCCCTTTCAAGACTTAAAACCTTGAAAATCAAGGTATGTATGCTGTAGAATAGTGATAAATCTGTGTAAAAGTAAGCCTACTTTATAACTGTCACTGCAGTGTTCCTGTGATTCATCTATGTATAAGTTTTATAAAAACAAAATTGTAGTGAGTTGTTCCTTGTTCTAGAATAATCATCTTACATAGAAAAACTGACTACTTCTTTAAAGGTATACATAATTTCTATGTTTAAAATTGCTGTTTTTAGATATCCTCATTCAAGTATTTTTGTTTTACAGCCTTTCCCTCTGCATCGTGTGTCTCTTACTCAGCAAGTTGTAGAAGCTCTTCATGCTTTACTGGTGCCTGAAAATGGCTTTCCCTCACCTCTACAGAGTCCAGTTCCTGCTCCAACTGATGGCTCAAGCTTGGCCTTTACAGTTTGTAGAGCTATAGCTGAGATACGGACAAGGTGTTGGACACTAACAATAGTTAGATGTTTAATTCTATGGAACTAAGCTTGTAAAGAAGTAGTGCTAGTATATTATAAGTTAGAAAGTTGTATGGGCTTAACTGACATAGGGATGATGGGGATATGTACCGTATTTTTCAGTGTATAAGATGCACTTATTTACCCCAAAATTTTATGTCAAAATCTGCTTGCGCCCTATACACCGAAGGTATGAATAATATATATTTATATATACACCTGGAAAAAAGTTAAGCACCCCCGTGTTTTTTTCAAGTGATTCAGATTCGACGTTCTTGTGACTGATTATAAATTACCATTCAATCTAAACGTGTTTATAAAATGAAATTATGCATTAATGGGCACAAGAAAAT